AACAAAAAGAAAATAATGTTCACTATATACAGTCTTTGTACAGGCTACTTGACTATACACAAGGCATAGTGACTGTAACACAATGTAGTCTTCATAATAATTTGTGCACAAAAAGACACCATCCATCAGTCATTATGTGAAAAATATGTCGAAATGACATCACAAGTCCAGTGAAAATTCAGCATAATACAAAACATATTGATCTACTGCAAATGACATCCTTTAAAACAATAAGCTTTTATTCAGTAGTAACTTAACCAGAGTCTGAAGCAGAGATTTGTTGTGTAGTTATAAGTCTCTTAAGCGAAGCAACCTCTGCAGATAAGTTTGCTATGCCCTGCTTCAAATACAGGTTCTCTGACTCAGAGACATTGTAGATATTGTCTTTTATTTCAACAACTCCAGTTTTGCAACCACTCTGAATTTTTACATTCAGTTCCTTCTGATGCCAGTGAGACCAGTCTTGGATATTAGTCACTTGAACAGAGAAAGGAGTGTGAGAAGAATGTACCAAATTTTGTACACTATGTTTTTCAAGTTCAAAATGTCTTTTAGATGACATGTCAATAGGTGATGATAGTTTCTGTGTAGCATCATAATCGTTATCCATTGCTTCCACTTTGATTTGCATGGCTTTGGCCTTAATTCGAAGCTTGTGAGGCAGCGCAGAAGAGTTCACCTCGGGAACTTTCACTGTTGCATGAATATTTTTATGTTCAACTGGGGAATGGATTGGACCTTTGGGAACCTGCTGCTCATCTTCTCCATCTGATGACTTCCCAACAACACCATCATCAGCTTCTGAAGTTCTTGGAGAATTACTGGAGGACCTATTCACTTGCAACAGGGGAGGGGAATGTGAGTACAAATTAAAGGAATTTCCCATGTAGTTAGGATACATGGCTGTGGCTCTTGGCTCTCTCTCCAATTCCATAGGCTCCTGCTTTATAATTTGAAATTTATTTTCAGGACTTCCACAATTATTCTGTATATGATTTGGCGGAGTAGGCTCCACTGAGGATATTTCAGACACATCAGACAAGGAGCTCTGTGGAGAGTGTTTGATGACAGAAATACAACTACTACCCACTATAGACGGTTCATGCTCATCCACAAATGAGTTAATATTTGATTTGGAAGTTTGATAGTCTTGGAAATACACTGCTGTTGAACTACTGAGCTTCTGTATCTCTTGGGCATAGGCTGCAGAGCTAATTAAACCGAACTTTAACTTCAATGAAAGCAGCTCTGTTTTTAAAGTGGCATTCTCCTCTCCCAATGCAATTAGCTTGTTCTCTAAGACAAGGTCATTCAGTCGTCGTTTTTCACGAGATCTTTTGGCAGCTTCATTATTTTTCCGCCTTTTTTCCCAATACATAGCATCTTTCTTTTCATCTGGAATGAATTCTCGCTTTCTCCGGCATGCTGAAGATTTGCTCTTTCCATGATTTGCTTCAGTAAGTAGAATGTCTTCATTTGCAGACAAATCTTCAGACCCATCTGTTAAAGTAGACTTAAGTACCATGATTTTGTCCACGTTGCTACTTGTGTCAACAGGTGCTTCTTTTTTAATGGTCTGCATTTTTCTTAGCTGCATCAGAAACAATTTTTAGTAGCTCTATGATGAATAACGAAGCAAACTATTTTCCCCAGTGCTTCTCGAATGATAACAATGTGATAAATACAATAATTTTAAATCCATATGTGTTCTTCCTTTTGTTTCATATTCTCAAGCAGAAGTATGTCTAGGTCCAATTTACTTCTCGGCAGGTACAATGAGAAACTTCTAAGTAACCTGTAATAAATTAAGAAATAGCAATTATTATTCAGTTATTGCTGATTTACTGCTTTAAAATGCTATTTCCAAATGCATAATTTAGAATAAATGTTCATTAATTACGCCTAGTAAAACATAAAAAGAAAGCTCGACATTTAGATAACTGATACATTTACTTTATCTTACCAGGTAGCAATTTTGGGTTTTTTACTACGAGAGAGAGAAAATAGTACCAGTTTTCAAAACAAAGTATGATCTGAAGGAAAAATCATTAAAATCATACTTATTTTTAATCTGGCAGCTGTGTTGTTATAGAACTTGACAATGACATCACCAATTGCCTTAAGCTGCTAGCAGTTCACTATACCAGAAGTTAAGACATGCTGATTACCAGTGACGGAAAATATACAGCAAATAAAAAGATCACCTCTGAAAGCAACTGTGTAGTGTGTGATTTAGAAGTCTTACTTATTTGGGTCCTCTACAAATTAAGAGTAATCCAAATTGATTTACAGAAGTTAAAATGCTTTCTATTGCCCTAAAAATACTAGCACAGCACATTCTTATTCTTATATTTAATAAAAGATAATTTGGCTTTTCAGCTGTCTTCTTGAATAATCATATCAATACAGCTGAGTTTAAGCATAAGTCAAATAATTTTGCTATGTCATTCAGCTCTTCTTTAAAATCCAGAGGAAAAAAAGTATAATGTGTTACCTATGACTGCTATCTGATCCCTAACATACAAAACTGTTAATTAGTTAAATTATATCAGGGTAATAATATTTATTAATAAAGTTCTTCCTTGAAAAATATTGTTAGCATACTACAGTATGCTTTAATAACATTAAAGAATGTATATTTGTGTGGCAAAACAATGAGCAAATTAAAATGGAAATTTAGATATAAAATGGGGCAATCAAAAGAAAACTAGCTTAACCTTTAACTCCAGACATCTTTATCATTAAAATTTGTCTTAGCATTTAAGCTGGCATTTGGTTTATTTAGTCCATATCAATTACAAAAATACTTTGTTCTCATAACAACATTTGGTTTTGATCCTAGACATAGCTTCCCCATGCTTAATTTTCCATGGTTAGTCATGTTCCTGGTAAAACAAATTTAGCAAGACAACTGCTTTTACAAGACTGGCTATCCACTTAGCAATGATTTTTTATCCTGCCTGTATTAAAAAAACAAACAAACTGTGGTGACTTTAGATTAATGTCACTATTTATCAGTCATGTTTTTACAATGACTAATGAAACTAATTTTAACAGTATCTGCTGGGAAAGTTATACAAGAATTAATTAATTGTATTGTGCCAGTTCTCTTGTCTTTTCCAGAAGGCAAAGAGGAGTGAGTGATGTAATAACAATTAAATGATGGTCATAAAGACTTGGGTTGCAAGCTGGGTTCTGTTTCATCAAATCATGCCAGCTCCTGTCATGAAAAATTAACACACTTAATAGAACAGCTAAGTAGAATTTCCTAAAATCCATGTTAATTACTGGCATATAACTATTAGTCTTCAATAATACAGCCTTAATGGAAAATGAAGTCATAAGATAACCATGCCATAGACAATATTTTCCATTTTACAGCAAAAGAAACACCACAAATTGCCATGCTTGTAAACAAGCAAAGCAATTCTAACACACAAGCAACTATATGGTTAGAGCCTGATCCAAAGCCCACAATAAAGTCAATGGGAGCCTTTCCATTAAGCTAAATGGGCTTTGGAATATGCCTTTCAAGAAAGAAAATCCCTACTACAAATAAAATCCACTATAGTTTGTTTTACTGAAGTATCACTATAGCAAGTTAGCTCATTAAAATACTGTGCTTTATCACTGGTTTAACTGAATGCATTATATTACATCTAAAAATTATGGTTGAACATATGGATTTTAATGCATATTACTTTAAATGAGGCAGAAATATTGCAGTGCAGGTAAAATATTTAAATACACTGTACAATGTTATGTTAAGAGTTATAAAAACTGATGAATCAGGTCAACTGGAAATTAAAGTCATTTCCAGAAGTTTCATCCTCTAATTTTATATAATGAAAAATATAATGTGCAGGCTCCATTTTCAGTTTCTGTATCACTTTGATTGAAAGGATACTGCCCAGTGACTGTCTTAATAAACTATGTACACTTATAATCATTCAAATTACTCAGGTCATTAAATAACTTTGTTTTTTCCATTGAGGAATGTATCTACTTTCTAAAGTACAGGTTTCCCTTGCTTTATGCTGGTTCTGTATGTGCGAATTCACTCTTATGCAATGACCCTTTTTATACCAATAATTTGTTATATGCAGGGTAAATTTACTCTGATGAGATCAGTGTGGTGGAAGCCAGCAGTCAGCTGCCTTGTGCGGTGCATTGTGGGAGTGACGTGTACCAAAATATAGTCTCCTGTGTGGATCTGTCCTCCGCGCTCGTTGTCTGCAATGTGTTTCTGTAGTTGCCATCCCCATTATAGCTTCTAAGCGTCCCACTAGCTTATTTCCTACCCCTCTCTGCTGTTGGTGAGTACCAAAATGGTACTTGTAAAAATGGTAAAAATGGGTCTGGGGGTCAGTACAGCCGAGGTCTTGGAACATATCCCTATTTGTTACATTGTAAAGTGGGTTCCCTTTATGGGAATTCGAGTTATGCGCCATTTTCCAGGAATGCATGTACAGCATAAAGCAAGGGAAGCTTGCATATAATCTGAAGCTGTATATGGTTTGTATCAAACACTAGCAAAGATACTACTTTACTAGAAATAACATGTTGTTTTTGAAAACCCTGATCAACTTGAAATGAAGTCACAGGGAGTCAATGTAACTTTAACAGGAGTTGAATCAGACCCCAGAGATATAGAAGTTGGAATAAAATATAAAATAGAGTAGAGAAGTGAAATCAGAATCAGATACTAGATACTGGTCGCATCTACATGTGCCCCTACAGCCCCATTGTTACTGTACCATGCTGGTGGCACACAGTTATTTTTAACTGTTATGTCGCCATAGCAACGCACTATAGTGAGCTTTAGGGGTGTGCGAAATGGGCTGTATTTGATTCAGATTTGGATTTGGCCCGAATCAGGGGCAGTGCTTCAATTAATTGGATTTGGATCACTGTCCTGATTTGATTTGGCCGAATTTGAACCTGAAGATTCGATGCCGTTTCAGAGAATCAGCCACAGAAACAGCTTTAAATGTTTTTTCTACATACCTTGAGGTACCAGGTGCAGCTCGTGAATGCTGCGATGGTGGGGTGGATGGAGCATTCCACAGGAGCGTGGGGGGCCCCCCACGTGCTTGGCAGTGAACCCGGAAGTGGACTGGAAGTACTTCCAGTCCACTTCTGGGTCCGCCACCAAGCAAATGGGGGGACACCCCCCCAGCTCGGCAACTGGCCACAGGGCAACCCTGGGTGCCCCCCCACAAAGGCACCAGTCACTGAGAGGGGCCCCTCGCATGCTCCACAGTGGACCCGGCAGTGGATCCCGCCATGCTCCCATGGGACCCCTCCATCCGCCTCACCACCTCAGCATTCACGAGCCACCTGGTACCTTGTGGTATGTAGAAAAAACATTTAAAGCTGTAGTCTGAATCATCAAAACTTTCCGAATCTCTATGAATCGATTCGGAGGGTTCCAATTTGACTCGGAGAGATTAAAGGGTCTCCTGGTTCAATTCAGATTTAAAGATTTGATTGCTAAATCGAGCGAAATCGCCGCCAAACCAAATCAGTGACTGAAGTTTCACACAGCACTAGTGAGCGTATGGTTTGTGCTCACCATGCTAAGCGACCATATCGTGTTGCTATGAGGATATAGCATCTCATGTAGACATGCCCACTGAATTGTCTCATGTAGACATGCCTACTATTAGAAAAGAGGGTTAAATATGCATATACACTTATTTTCTATATGTTTATGAGCATACTTGTTCATGTCTAAGGTTATTAGACACTGAAAATAAATACTTACCAGCTGAGAGCTTTCACTGATAGCTAGTTATTCAAAGATTTTTTTTTTAATCTATTTTTTAGAAGACTCAAACTAACTACAAAATGGCTTAAGACGCAACATAATTTTATGTCTCCTACTATTGTCTCTCTTTCCCGATTCTTTCCTATTCTAAGAGTGATGCATTTTATCTTATATTAATTGGGTTTCTGTCCAGAACATGTGTTCTTTGTATCTAGCTCAATGACAACCCAATTCTGACTGAGGTTTTTGGTCAACACCATAATATGTATAATTAGGAATAATAATAATTGTTATTATTATAAACGCATGCAACCACTGAATACTCAAAATAAATTTCATCAGGCTTTAATAAGTCACTAGATATTTTGAGTATGCATGGATTGCAAGTTGAATTGTAGTTTTATCCACCCAAATTCAAGTAACAAGCTATGCTTAGAAAGAAAGTGTTCAGCTAGTAAGCAGAATTCACGTGCCACAAGTCTTCTGCAGATTGGGGCATTATAGGGCATGGGCTGCTTGTTTTAGCAAACAAAACTCCTTTTTTGGCCACTATCCATCTTGTGTATATTGTCCCTTGCAGGAGTAGTGTGAATGAGGGATGGATAGTATTGAGTTTGAGTTGTGCTGAGTGGGTGCATCTATACAAGCTATTAATGCGGCTCAAACTCTGGCACAGTTTGCGCCGCAGTCAGCTGCTCCCAAGTACGGCGTCTTTATATGCTCCCAAGACTGCAGCAGTTTGAGCCAGGGCAGAGCAGCCTCAGGCTGGCAGCAGGCTTGGGAGGTCAGACCTAGGTTCTGGGTTGGGGTCATTGGAGGTGCTGGCTGGGAAACAAGAGTGCCCAAAGAGTGGAGCCGTGTGGCTAGATGGCGGGCAGGGGCCTGGCCCCGTTGCCTGGGCGGACCAGGTGCAATTTATGCCCAGGTCAGTGTTTACATGTGCATTTAGGCGCAGTTATTTTCACCTATGTAAGATAGTACTGTCCTTGACAGTACAATCTTACGGTGGCAAAAATTAGTTTGTT